TGCTGCCTTCTCCAATGTCCCCTGTTCTCTGAATTTCTTATGTCCTATCCCAATTCCTCACCCTCCTACCTGCTCTCTATCCAGGAGCACCCTGTGCCCTTGTATCTGATGTGTCGCTCACAGCCTGGAGCCCGAGAGTGGTCTTAGGACAGAGGGAGGGGCTTGGGAGCAGGGCAGAGGGCCCAACACCAGTGCCAAGGATGCCGAGAGGCTCCTAGCCATGCGGTTGGAGGACGTGGAATGGGAGGGGGGCAGGGAGGGGCCAGGGAGGCCCCTACCTGGCGGGGGGTTAAAGGGAAAGAGGGCAGGATCATTTCCTGGCATGACTTCTGCAGGTTGGGGGAGGGGTGCAGGCAGGGGTGATTTCACAATTATTTTCACTCCAAGTTCAAATGGAAAGAAAGCTGGTTGAATGGACCAAAAATAGCCAGCACGTCAGACAAATGTTCACAAAGCCAAGATCCTTGATTCCTAGGTTGGGGTTTTGAAGGTTGACTTTGTAGATACTGGGAAACCCTGAAGGATACTTCTGAGCCCCCGTGGAGCCTGCCTGATTCCAGTGGCGTCAGGTTTGAAGACATGATGGAGATGGCACCGGGTCCCTGCTCTGAAAGTGTCACTGGCTGGGGTGTCCATGCTGATGCAGTCCCTCTTCCTGATCTCTTCCTTTACCCCTCACCATACGTGCTTGGCCTCCCCATGAAATGCCTCATAGCCTTTACCCCCAAAATAGCACAGGCCCTGATACGCATGTGATGTGTGTAATAATAGTCCTTGCCTTAAAAAACCGTCAGGATTAAGCGAGATACCCCACGTGGAATGCTCAGCACTTAGCACACAGTTAACACTCAGAAAGTGTCAGCTATCAACACCAGATGTAGCGGTAATATAAGTAGGTGGGCAACGTGGCTCCAATATCAAGGCATGTTGCCGTGTACTTCTGGATCCATGGCTGATCCCTGTATGACAGTCAGAGCTTCACATTAAAGTTCACTCTTATGCCTGCCTCCAGGCCCTAGCACACACCAAGCTCTGAACATAACTGTGTTCCATGTCCTTTTCCTCAAAGCCACAAAAAGTTACTGAGCAACCACCATGCTCTAGGGACTGGCAAACAAAGATGAGTAAGATGAGGTCTGCACTGTCGGCAAATGCCCAGTCTATCCCGGGAGGCCCACCCACAACACAGCGGCCCGACTGGCCATCAGGTGCTCAGATGACGGTGCTGACCGCAGGCGTTCCTGAGAGCCAGAGAAGGAGGAGAGTGGGCTGGAGAGGCTCAGCAAGGCTTCTGGGTGGAAGGGGCCTGTGGGATGGGTGGGATTTGTAAGAGCACAAGGGAGGAGTCTTGAGGCAGGGGGATCCTGCCGCTTGTCTTAGGCCACATTGCAATGCACAGCTGGACTGTGCGAGGTGGTCCAACATCCAGGTCAGCTGGTGGAGGGCATGGAAAGACACCCGCCTCCTAAGTGGAAGACACCAGGCGCACATCGTCAGTCCAGGTGGAATTCTTGGGTCTCGTTCTGTCTGGGGTCTCTGGGAGTCCCTAGAGGGCACTGTGAGGGGATTACTCTCTCCCTCTCTTTCTGACCCCTCCCTCACTAATGAGCTGTGATCAAGGAAGGCTTTGGGATACAGATTCACCCCTTGACACTATCTATGAAGTGCTTACTGTGTGCCAGGCATCGTTCTAGTCTCTGGGGCTATAGCAGCGAATAAAACAGAAAAATTCCATTCTTCAGGGAGCTCACCCTCTGGTGTGTGTGCAGGGAGGTCTGATAATAAGCAGGATAAACAAGTGAAGCACGTACACACCGCGTTAGCCAGCACTGGGGGCTACGCAGGAGACCCAGGCAGGGGAGCGGGTGAGATTGCAGACGGGGTGGCTAGAATGCCGCAAGGCCACAATCCCTGCCTCAAGCAGGTCACCATCTGTGGGTGGCTCTCGCCTAGTGTACCTAAGAATCTCCAGAGGGGCCTGCAGATTGCAGATGCCCAGGCCCCACCCCAGAGAGTCAGATTTAACAGGCCAGGGGTCAGGCCCAGAAATGTGAGACCATGTGGACCCACTTTGAGGTGCATTGTTTTCTTGGGAAACCATATCTGAGGAGGATAGCACTGATTTTTTTCCTCTAGGAAGACCCTGTGGGACCCCCGAGAGAACTGAACGAAGGGCAGCTATGGGCAGTGTTGCCAGCCTTCTAGCTATGGGGCATCTTCACTTGCCACTCCCTCTTCCTGGGGCGGAGGCCCGATGCCCATCCTCTCCAGAGAAAAGGACAAGCTTGGAGTTCCCAGCCAAACCCTCTACAGGAGGCAGATGGGCTGGGCTGGAAGGAGGGGCAAATCCAGTCTGAGGCAGAGGCATAGTTTGGGGTTCTGCCTCCTGAGTCAGTTCTGACAGCCCAGGGGCAGTGAGGAGTGGCCGAGCCCAGCCCAGACCTTCGGGATGCTGTTGTTTCAGTATTTTACAGCAATGTAAGCTCTCACCTTCACAGTCTCAGGGCACCAAGCTCTTGTACGGAGGGGGAGATGGACTCTGGCAAAACTTCACGGGTCTGATCTATTTGAATAGCAAAGTACTTACTGAGTATGTATTCATGCCATGCACCTTTCTAGACACTGGGAATATCACTGTGAACGGAACAGGCAAAAATGTCTCCTCTCTGGAAGCTTATATTCTACTGGGGGAGAGAGGCGGAGAACAAGATAATACATAAAATTCACGTTTCTACCAATGATAAGGGCTAAGGTGAAAGAACAAAGCAGGGAAAGGCCATGGAAGGTGTCACCAGTGAGCATGTCATTGAAAGTTTAGATGAGATGGCCAGGGAGGGCCTCAGCGAGAAGGCCACCTTTGAGGAAGGCATGAGGATTCTGAAGGAATAGAATTCCAGGCAGAGACGATGGCAAGTGCCAAGGCACTGGGGCAGAGTGGCATGTGGCTGGAGCTGGGAGAGCAAGGGAGAAAGCAAGGAGATGGATCACAGGTAGCAATCACAAAGGGCCTTCCAGGCCATAATCAGGACCTGGGCTTTTACTCGAGTGAGGAGGGGAGGCCAAGCAGAATTTTGGCAGAGGAGTCATATAACGTGACTTATATTTTTAAGGGATTACCTCTGGCAGCTGTGTTAAAAATAAATGAAGAGTGAATGCAGGCAGACCAGGTAGGAGGCCATTGAAATATGTCAGTGGGAAATGGTGGTTGTTTGGAAGGTAGAAAGGGATCGGATATTTTAAATTTGCTGATAGACAAAATGTGAATTGTGAGAAAAAATTATATGTATATATGCCCGGCACTATATGAAACTTTACAGATTAGGAAACAGAAACTAAGAGAGGCTAAGTAACTTGAAAAATCACATAGCTAGCAAGTGGTGGAGCTCGTATTTAAACCAAGTCGTGCGCCAAAAGCAGCTACGCTGTAAAAATCTCATCCGTTCATTCAACAACCCTCCATTGCACACTGACTCTGCTTCAGGCATTGGTCTACATGTTGAGGGTACAAAAACGAGCAGGGGACAGTTCTTGACCTTGAGGAATTTATGGTTTGGAGGAGGAGACAGAAGTGAATAGAAATAAGGACGATGAGATAAGTTTGCAAAGTCTCAGGCACTCAGAGGAAGTGGGTGGATGCCCAAGGGAGGAGAGGTAAGGGAAGACCCCTCAGCAGGTGATGTGCAGTTGGATCCTAGAGACTGAGCAGGGCTTTGCCAGAGAATAAGGGATGGAAAAGCATTCCTGGCAGAGGAGCTGCGTGTGCAAAGGCGAGGAGACGCAGAGGCACGGCAGGGAGAATTGCAAGGATGTGCAGCCTTCTGCGGTGGGAGCCAGGTGAGGAGGCCTGGGAGGGGAGAGATGAGACGGAGGATGAGCAGGTCAGTCAGGAATGGCTGGAAAGAGCTTCCCCAGGCCAGGGCAATCGCTGCAGGTTTCCAAGGGGGCGTGGAGCGGTCAGATCTCTCCTTACGTGGAGGGTGGACACCAGGGCAGAGGACGCAGTTTTCCCTGTTTCAGATGACGTTCCCTGGGAAATCTGGTAGGACTGAGGGAACGGGTACAGGTTTTCTGGAAACAAACAGTACTGTGCCTGTGCGTGCGTGTCTCCGCGAGTCTATAAATACACTCAGACGCAGCGCCGGGCTGGAGTCTCCCCCGGGGCCCTGCCGGCATCTTGCTCACACTCCCTGAGCTGCTTCTGCCCCTCCTCACCCCGTCCTGGCCGGGCTCAGCCCCAGCAAGCCCAACGTTTCACGCCCCAGCAGGCCAGGCTGGAGTGGGGGCCGGGACTGCAACCTCTGTCTTACCACTCTTCCCCTGGGACACGCAAGTGTCCAAACTGCAGAAGGAAGGATGAGCTTGGCCCAAGGAGGAAATTGGGAGACTGTTAAACCCAAGCTGAGTATGAACTGACTCCCCAGTGGGATGGGAAGGGCATTCGTTTGCAAACCTGACCCACATCCAGTGATTCACACACCATCCTGGCGAGAGGCAGTGAATGGATGAGACGGTGACCCTCGTCTCACCCAGCTCCACGATCCCTCACGTCCTATTGGTGGCGTGACAGAGACAGAGACAGACAGAGCACATATATGTATATACATATATGTATGGGTATATATGAATATATGTAGGGAGACAGAGTCAGAGAAAGGCAGAGCACATACATGTATATATATGTGTATATATAGGTACACATGAATATAGAGAGAGACAAAGACAGACACAGGAAACAGGGACAGAGACAGACAGAAGGAGGCAGAGACAGGCAGACAGAGACAGAGAGACAGGGCCACCAAGTATAGGTTCAAAACACGACAATTTTCAAAACTCCAGCAAGGGCAGATCTGATAGAATGTTACACAGGATTAATGCGACACACATCAGAGTCTAGCCCAGTACCCCTTCCAGAGCCCCAGCTCAGAAATTTGTACCATCTCCTTCCCTTTCTTGACAGCCCTGGAGAAAAGCAAGAACAAAACCAAAAGAGAAGTAAAATAAAAAACCGGAGGGACAGCAAAACGGGGAAAACCCAGACTCACCCGGGTAAGTACAGAGGGCAGGTCCCTCCCCAAGGGCTCAATAGCTCCTGTTCCCAGCCAGGGGAGAACCCAGGTTTCCAGCCGCTCTTTCCGAGTCCAAGCCCCGTCCTGACAGGTCAGGGCCTGGGTGGGGGATGGCCAGGGTGCTGTTTCCAGGCACTGGCCACCTCCCTCCCCTCTGGAGCCGTAGAACTTGGACCAGCTTACTGGGCCACTAAGTCAGGAGCCTGCACCAGCCAAGCTGCCCTCCTGGGCCGTCTGGCTCACCAGGGGCCGCCTTGGGAGGCAGCGAGTCCTGTCCTCCATGTGACTCTAAATTGAGGGACAGGCTGTGTGACCTCTGTGGGTCCCTTCCCTCTGGAGAAGGGGACCAGGCTCCTCGTCTGTGAAACAGGAATAAAGTCATTTGCTCTGCTAATCCACAAGACTGTCATGCCGGCTGCTAAAGAACATTGTGATCTGTGCCTGCACATAGCACAGGATCATGATGTCCCACCAGCTCCAGGCTGTCTCATGTTCCCATGGCCCCCAACAGGCTCCACACCGGGGCTGGGACGGGAGCAGGCTTTCCCAGGGCTGTGCTTTCTTGGAGGGTGAGCCTGAATCGAGGTGTCCTCAAGAAGATCTATTTGGGGACTGCCTGTCTCCCTTGGGGGGTTGTGCACAGAGAGTACAGGTGGGGGTAGAGGCTGGGAGGGGACTCAGTCCTCTTCACCCACCCACCCCAAATCTCCAGACTCCTCTGGGGCCTCTCAGGTCTCCAGGCAAGAAACCAGTCTGGGAGTGTAGGGGAAGCAGACCACTCTGAGGGTGTCCCCCTCCCTCTCCCCTGTCCCCTTGGGCCCAGCCCACACAGCGGAATCAGGGGCACCAAGCCAGGACACAGGAAGGAGGGACTCAGCAGGTGGGGTCACCGCCCTGTTTGTGAAGTTGATCTTTCCTTCCCATGGGCTCTTGCAGTTATTTACAAAGTCTTGTCAACAACACACCCTAGTCACACAGATAAAATCACTGAAGTTGAAGCTTATAAAACCCAGTATCAGTATGATTACAAGACAGTAATCACTCACTGGGTCCCTCCACTTGCTGGGCAGGGCGTTAAACATTCTGTACATCTCAAGTGTAATCCTCTCAGCTACCCATGGGTGGGTGTGCCCCAATTGACACAGCAGGAAACGGGGGTTCCGCAAAGGCAAGAAACTGGACCTTAGGCAGTGGTAAACCTGTGGGGACCGGGAAACCTGTCTTCTTGGATAACGACCCTTGAAGGGAGGGCATGCATTTGAGGGAAGCGAAATACTGTATCTTAAAATCTACCCAAAGACCCAGAGAACATCTCCGCCCAGTTGAGTGCTGCATATCATCAGGATGAGAATGTCACTAACTGAAGTCGTAGCCCAATGAATTACGTGGGCACCTGATTGTCTGGAGGGACCCTGTGATAATAGAAGGGCTGGGGGAGTAGCAGGGATTCGCGAGAGGACCCTGTGCCGACCGGGGCAAGGGAGATCTGCGTGCAGAGGGTGATCGTTGTAAATACGCCTTTTGTAGAGACAGGGAAGGCGCCAGCCGCCTGCAAATGGCAAGAGCTTTCGCATCTGCCCTGCCCGGGTCGCTGTTGCACACATCATCTCTTTCCCTCCCAGCAGCTCTCTGTGTTGCTCTGTGATCATCCCCATCGAGCAGACGGAGAAGCGGAGGCTTAAGTGACCTGCCAAAGAGAGGTTTTTGGGAACTGGTGGAGGTAAGATTCCAACCCAAGTCACTCCCAGGCCACCCTCTCCCTAACGCTTCCCCGCACGTCACACGTTTCCAGAGCCTAATCCAACAGACTGGGAAATCCTTCCAGAAGGGCTCCTCCCTTCGCTCTGGTTCTGCCTTCGCTGGGCATCAGCAGGAAGGAATAGATAACTTGGACCAATTCCCGACAGCAGCCGTCTGGACAAACCTGCACCCACCGTAAACCATCCCGGCGGCATTCTGTGTGCCCACCCACCTATTGTGTGTTTGGTTGTGTGAGCCAGGCCTCTAGATGTTAACCAACTCCTGTGACCCGAAAAACAAAGCACAGACAAGTTCCAGACCTGATGAAACAAGCCGGGCTCTGTTCTCAGGGAGGTTCTGCCTCAGGGAGTGGAGGTGGTGGGAAGGGCAGAGGCTACCTGGGGAGCCAGTTCAGCTAGAACTTGGGATCTGGAGTCACAGGCCTGGCTGTGCATCTTGAACTAAGTTACTGAACTTCTCTGAGCTTCATTTTCTGATGTCTCTTGTGGAATAAAGGTGTGTGACATAGCTTAGCAAACCGTAAAGTGCTCTGTGGTCTGTCCTGCCCATGGGCCCCTTGAGGGCAGGCATCGCAGTGGGCCTCACTCCTGTCACTTGACTAGACTGCTCCTTTGGCTCTTGAAGACTCAGGGTGCGTCATGCTTCCGGGTCTCAGAGGCCTTTGGGGTGTCCCTCCTGGCCACTTACCCCAGTCTGGAGCCTTCCTCGGGGCTTGTCACTCTGTGGTCATTGTCCAGCGCCCCCTGCCCTGTAAGCACCTTGTCTGTGCCCCAGCTGGGGAATGATGATCACATGGTGGCCCTTCGGTAAACCCGTTTATGAAAAGGGGATTCTGGGCAGTGGGAAGCAGGAAGTGGGCGCCGGCTGTACGGAAAGGGCCTCAGTGAGCCTGTCTACCACACAGTTTGAATTCACCTTCTCTGCCCTGCACGGCACAGGCGCGGGCTGCCAGCCCCTCTCAGACAGCCTGGTCTGTCCTGGTGGAGCGTCATCCTGCCAACTCTGCTCTCCTGCAGGCAGAGGCCATGCTACCCCGGCTCCGCCCGGGAAGTGGCCCCACCTGGCTCAGCAGGTGAGGATCCCAGGCTGATTGACTTGAGCAATCTCTTGCCTGTGGGTAAGACAGCCATCTTGCTGGGCTTTTGCTTTTGTTTTGTTTGTTTTATTTTGCCTTCATGTCCAAGAACCTAAGGGCTGTTTTGCAGCCCCTCGGCCCCTTCCTCTGGCCAGAGAAGCAAGTAGGACTTCCTCTGTCTCGGGCCTCACGCCGACCTGGAGAGCAGGAGCACCCGGGAGGGGCGTGTGCTGCAGGGGTGAGGGCCAGGCGCAGTCCACCTGGTGGGTCCTCCCCAGAGCAGGGCACACAGAGCCACTCCTATGGGGCTGTGCACAGAGGCGGTGGTTTCTGACCCTCCCAAAGCACCAGAGCTCCCTCTCCAAGCATAGACACCGTCCTTCATGGCCTCTGCCTGGAGCCCAGGACACGGGCGGACAGGAGAAGCCCTGCCCACCGCTGGGCACAAAGCCCAGAGGCACACACAAGCCTTCCCCACACCCAGACAGTCACACTCACCGTCCACACACACTCCCACCCACACACACCCAGCGAAGTCAGACGGGTGAGAAAGGGTGACTGGCTTTAAATAAACACGATCAGCTATTTCAGACCTTTGGGGACCGGGTGCCTTTTCTGGGCTGCAAGACACACCTTGCCTGGAGCGAGACCTGTCGGGACTAGACTCTCCCGGCTCCCCAAGGGCAGCTCGAGCACCAAAACGGAGGCCTTGCTCCCCCTGCTGGTAAGATTGGGAACACACGCCAGCTTGGGCCATCCCCAACAAGCTGGAGGAAACCTGCTCTGGACCGGGGCCTGCGGGATCACAGAAATGAATAAGGACACTTCCTGTTCTCCCTCTCTCTCCTTTTCTCCCAGGGAACCAGAGTGATTTACTTCAGCTCACTCTCCCAAAGGCAGGATTCATCTCCCTGACCTGTGGAAGGAAAGATGTAGCCCAGAGAGTTTGAGCACATCTCCCAGGATCACACAGCAAGTTGGGTGCATCACTGGAACTGGCCTCCTTCACTACGCAGCCCGTGGGGAGGCAGAAGTGCCCCAACGCCACTGGGCCCCCTGGACCCTCACAGGGAGACGTCCCCTGGGTCTCCACCTCAGCACGTTCTCCCTGGCGAGGGCTCACACTGGCCCGTTTCCACATTCTAGGCTGAGGGAGCACTGTGGGCTGCGGGAGTCACCGATGTCTGGCAGAGGCTCAGCGACAGACATGTAGTGGGGCAAGATGGGCACCCACTCCTGCAGAATAAGTGCCTAGTCACAGGTTGGGGTCTAGAAGGGGCTGCGACTCCCTGGGGAGCTCCCACTCCTGGAGGGGACAGGCCAGATGAGGCTACCAAGCAGTCACCTCCCTGCCTTCGAGCAGGGAGCAGCACCCCTTGTTCAGGTGGAGGTCGAGCAGCCCCGAGGGGGAAGGTTGAGGCAGGCGGATTCTCCAGCAGGGAGCGGGCACCAGGCCTGGGGTCACTGCCTCCTTGGCAGGAGTCTCCTGTGTCCTCCTTCCTCCATGCCCAGCTCCTCCAGGGCTAGGAGGGCTGCTTGCTGCCTTGCGAATGGAGGAGCCTCTTCCTCTTCTAGAGGACATACAGGTCGAGACGGTGCCCATTTCCTGCCTTTCCTGGGCCAGGCCACCAAGATCTCCATTCTCCTGGACACCCCCGGGACTCAGGTAGTGAGGTCTTTGAGAGGAAACTTCAGGCTGCAATTACCCCAACGACTGCCACTTCCAAAGAAGCCTTTTCTTTTCAGAGCCATTGGTCGGGGGCCGGGGCGCTCTGCACTCCTATCTGGTCCTGCCTCTCTGCCCTGGAGGCTGTGTCAATATGAGGAGTATGCAGCAAGTGCCAAGCTATGGGTCGCGTCACCTCTCCAGGCTCAAGGTTGACTTCGTGGTAGCTACTGGAGTCAACCCCCCACAGTCCCCAGAGCGCAGTCTCCTCACCTGGTGGAGGGCTTCCTCCACGAGTCCTCCTCCTCCTCCTCCTTTCCTGTGTGGCCAAGGCCCTTTATCAACAGGTTCCATCAATGGGCAGGGGTAAATTCTTCATTCAGGGAAACCCCTACTTACTGAAACATGATGATTATAGGACAAGGATTTGGAGCCAGACAGACCGGGCTCTGAATCCCAGTTCAACCAGTTACTATCTGTGTTACCTTGGGCAATCTGCTTAACCTCTCTGAACCTCAGTTTCCAAATCTGTCAGTCGAGATAATAGTTCCCCCCACATGGGGGTGTGCAGAAATGAAATAGGATTATGCAGTGACTCCAAGCAGGAAATAGTTTATGTAACACTGTCATTTTTTCCTCTTCAAATGTCACTGCAGTTTACTTTATTATTCTTAGGGCTGGCTCAGAAGTTCTGTCGAGCGTTTCAGGCTGACTCTGGGAGTTTGGGCAGGGAAGGCACTCAGACGCTGGCTGCAGGAGCTGCAGCAACATTTGGGGGTGTCGGAGCTACCACTACGTGTTCCAGAATATCTAGAGACAAGGAAGAGAAAAGGGGGTTGTGCACAGTGTATTCCAGGTTCTGAGCTAGAGGCTTTGCATATGAAGTTTCAGGGAACACAACTTTTTCATGCTAAGATAGTATTGTCTCCAAGCCCGAAGAGGTCATGAGACTTGCCCAAGGCTGCACATCTAGTGTGGTGGAAGCTGCTAGTGTTTCTCCAACAACTTTCTACTATTTTATGAGAGTAAGAGAAGTTTTAGCTGAAACGTGGCTGCCCAGAATGAAGACTACATTTCCCAGCCTCCTGTGTGGTTGGGTGTGGCCGTGTGACGACGTTCTGGCCAAGGAGAAGTAAATGGGGGTGCCATGCAGCAGTTTGGGAACCTTCCTTAAGACACAGGCTGTGTGTCTGCTCTCTGCCCCTTCTTCTTTGTCCCTGCCTCTGTTTTGCAGCTTTGTAGGCAGGTGCTACCTTGAGCCATGAGGACAAGGGCCACTCGCTAACAGCAGAACAGCTACTGTTGTGAATTTTCTGTTACTCTGATTTCTACCTTATCCAGGTATGCCCTGTGAGTGATGGAGTGGGGGATTTGAACCTGCGCCAGTGAGCTCTTAAACCCACACTTTACCTCCACAGCGTGAGGTTTCTGGGCCCCTCTCTGTGCTCCTGCTGGAGCCCCGTCAGCTCTTAGGTGTGTAGCATTCTTTGGAGCTCTGAGGGGATGGTGTCAGAGGAGGAGAAGCTTGTCTAATGCAGCTCCTCAAACGGATTCATTCCAAGCATGGCGCAGGGGCCTTTGCTGGATCCAGAGGCAGCTTGATGGGAAGAGGAAACTCCAGCCTCTGCCACAGCACTGGCCACACAGGTGGCAGGTAAAGGCAGCAACAGGTAACCCTGGGAGTCTTTCTAAACTTCTCTGGCCTGGGACCCTCAGTCTCCTCTGATGGATTCTTTTGCTGGGACACCTCTAAGGAGACTTCGCCAAGGGAACATGCTGAAACAGGAGCATCCTCTTCCCAGGGGGAAATTTTTGCAGGAGCACTGTGAGCCCAGCAAGATGCCAGGTGGGCCAGGTATGGCCCCTTCTGATAGGAGGTATATTTTCTCTTATTTAATCTCCGCAGGGAAGGTTGCCAGCCTCAGGGCCATGTAGGACTCAGTCTGAGTTAAGAAGGCTGTAGGACCCTACTGGTAACTATCAGAACTTTTGTGTCACTGAGGAGAGGCTGGACTGGGACCATAGCAGCTGGCCGTTTACAAACACGGAAGAGACATTTCCTGCCTGGGCAGGACTGAGGAAGTCTCCTATGCTCTCATTCTTCTTGTTTATAAGATGGGATCGTGACCACTGCCTCTCAAGATTGTTGTGACATTGAACGAGATAATGAATGTGAAAACACTCAAAATCTATAAAGCGTCTACAAACATGGAGGATTATGATTATGCATCTGTACAGCAGAAATAACAGCACTGTGGTTGATGCTGTTGGTGCCCAATCGCCCCCTTGGCTGGGCTGCTGCACCCACCCCAGTTGCCGTGAGTAGGGCTGCTGACTGCTCACCGTTATGCCCTCCCTAGAGATTTCCCTCAGCTGAACGGAGGCTGCCTTGCTTGGGGGCCTGAAGCCGATGATTGTCTGACACGGGGGCACGAAAGTCCAGCCCCCTGCCCTAAAGGCAAGATTAACTCGGTGCAACTGTGCTCCGTGGACTCAGGCGGAGGCTCGGCCACAGCTGAGACCACAGCCTCGCCTGACTCCTTCCCTGCTCTACTCTCCCTCCGTCTCCTTTGGTGGGTTCTGCCTCAGTAGATCACACGTGCTCAAATCTGTCTCAGCCTCTGCATTTAGAGAACCTGACCCACACCGTTGCTGCGAGGCTTAAATGATACAATAGATAAAGAGATTAGTCCAGCTCCGGGCACATAGCGCGTATTCAGTAAATGTTAGAGGCTGTTACGATCCATAAGACCGGAGCATCAGGAGGCTGTTAGTGTAATGGTAAGGAGTGGAAACCTGGGGAACTGGTCAGTAGATTGAATTTTATATGCTAAGGGAATGGGGTGAGCAGAGAGGGGCAGCTGAGTTTCTTTGGCCATCGCTGGTTCTCTGCCTTGGGCAGTGAGGATCCTTGCACAGCGGATGAGAAAGTTTCAGTCATTGCGTGTCTCTACCAGCAGAGGGCGCCATTTTCACATTAATACAAATAAGTGTTTTTTCCTCTGCTAATCTGAACCAGGTTTCCCAGAGCAGCCCCAGGTTGACAAGGAAGATCAGGTACGTGACAGAGCAGAAAGTGCCTTAAGATTGGCACCGATAATAGGAGAGGACAGGACAGGGAGAAACACTGACTTAAGCTGATCAGGGAAGCTTCCCTAGCGGTGAGGCCTTGAGCTGGGCACTGCGGGGAGGTAGCTAATCTCCCAGCAAAAATCCGGGTCCCTTTGGTAGAGTTGCAAGGGATAAGAAAATAATAGAGAAAAATGGAAAATAAAAGAATACACAGAGACAAAGATATAGTTTTATAAGTTTATAAAGATTATAGGCAAAGTGG